ACCTAGACACCAATCTAGTTTCCCCGCTAAATTTAGCGGAAAATATCGACGTCACGTGGCCTGACGTCACGTGACCTATAAAACCATTCAGTCGTCCCGCTTAATTTCGGCGGGAAAATATACGTCACGCGACACCTCAACTCCTTCACCAGTTCGCTGCCAATTTTTGATGTTTTCGACTACACGGGCCAATCGTTGACAGAGGGCTGCTATTTGACGACACAACTGCTCCATTATGTTGGGAGCTGAGAGTATTACAGTAGCGTTGAACCGTTGGATAACTTCCTTTGGGTTTTGAGACAGCATATGTATTTAAGGAATGATGGCTGGTTTTAGTCTAGGTTTTCCACGAGTGGGCTTTTTTGTTCCGTTCATCCTTTTGAATAGACTATTCGCTACATAACCCGACATTCTCTACAGGAAACATCCACCTTTCGTGAGCTCACTCTGTTGTGCTAAACTGTACGTTGTGCCTAAAGACGTCTTGATGTAAGCCTGTAGTAGACACATACTGGCAATGCCGTTTTGATCATTTGGGTTGCACATTTTTGCTCTACATTATTCGGTCAACTGACCGAAAGAAAATCGAGGAGTAGATGTAATGATTTAGGGGAGGTCCTTAAGGCGAAGAAGATTTATGCAAGAATAAATTCTTCAACTTGAAATTGAAACGCAACTTGCGCCCTCAAAAAGCTGATAACCGCTTAAAAAAAGGAAAAAAAAAATAATTGGTTCGGGATTTGATTTCGGGACCACTTCAAGACTAGCGGAATCGGTAGAGCAAATGGATGTTAACAGTTAGCACGTTCCTTGATCGTAGGCACCACAATGGTAAAATCAAAGGTTAAACTGGCTTTTTCTAGCGGTTATTATTGCTTAGAGTTTGTTTATTCTGGCACAAACCAACGACGTTCTCTGGTGTCATCGCTAACGCAGAGGGCGCTGGCAAAGCATCCGAACCCCAGATACCCATTTTGTAGGTTTAAAGAAGAGCCGATGTGCTCAAGATATAACAAATCAAGATCTTATTCCACCGTTTCGATTTACAGGTAACTGGACTGAATTATCGTTCGCAGGTGGACAATGGGAGATTTCCCAAGGCAATAGTTCTTTTTTATAAATCAGTGGAGGCATACGGTGATAGTAAAGAATGATACGTTTATTCCCGTTCATTCCATTCTCTTCATAAACACCCCAAGGTAACGTTGATTGCAGGCCCAGAATACATTCATCCGGCACTTTCAAGCATTCAGATTCTGCAAAAAAGAGTTTATTTGTAACATTAGGGACACCAGGAATATCGGAAACACACAAGAGCATTTAATCTATCTCATCAACAAGGCTATAAAGAAAACAGATTGAAAACTTCCATGGTCTTTTATTCATACTATAGGTCATTTGAAATCTTATGGTATATAATGCAACATATTCACATCTTCAGTTTACCTGAATGATGATGAGTGCCATACGTTATGTTTGTTCTATATATCCAATTCCTGAAGTCGTAATAAAATTATCATAGCATGTTATTTATAACACTGCATTGTGTACTTACATTTCTTGTAGAAACCACCGTAGCCGAGACCGCCAAGTCCGTAGCCGTAGCCGAGACCATAGCCGGACAGACCATATCCGTAGCCAAGGTTGTGACCGTAGCCGAGACCGTAGCCGTAGCCAAGACCATGGCCGTAGCCGAGGGTAGAAACAACTGGTGCGTGGTGGACGCTAGAGTAGGAAGAGGTCAAGGGTGCCGCCACGGAGTAGCCGCCGTAGCCGAGGTAGCCGGCAAAGGCGCAGGTGGCGAGGGCCAGGACGAGAATGCAGCGGAACTGCAGAAAGAATACGGCGACAGGAAGTACAGTTAAAATTATGTATTTGCAAGATTTTAGATTGCACGGACAGTAGAGTATTTGAAAGATGGAGAGTTTTCACCCGACTTAAAATAGGCCTGCTGTGTTTTGCTTTGTGACGTTTTACGTAACTATAAGTTTCCGTACTTAACATTTTATCCCCGACTGACCTCGCGTTCAGTTCTTTAAGTTGCAAAAGTATTCAAAAGTAGTTTCAAAATAGTTCAAAACGAGCACATATATCTTATTGTGAACATTATAGAGCTACTCAGTTTGACAAAACGACTGATAAAGCTCAATACCACAGCCGCTTCTCCGACAATATAGTAGTTATATAAAAAAGAAAAGAAAGGCCACTAATGGCACAAATGCAATGATATTGCTTAGAGTATCTCCCTAAGTGAAGGTTGGAGGTGGACTGCTTGAAAACATGCGACTGCGCAGAGATATCAATGTTCATATCCGGTGTGAACAGGCGATCTATGTGTAGAATAAATGTGAATACCGAGGCGGAAGCTGCCAACAGCGTTGCCGTAAGTGGTGGCGGAGAAGTGATAGAGGGAGAAGTGACATACTTGAAACCGTTTGCTAAAAAATGATGATCGTTTGGTTAATATAATGGTTAATATATCTTCACTGTATTACTTGCTTTAATTTGTTAACTTTTATTGATAAATCACAATAAAAGACAGGAGCTCACCATGATTGAACTTTGTAGTACTGCTGTAAAGCTCGAACTGATTAACGTCTCGATGCCAGCCTTTTTATACCAGTAGGCGAAGTTCGATTCAATATTTACGTCCTCTTACATTTCTCTCTTACAATTAAAACAGTATATTACACATTCGGCTTTGAGTTGCTTTAATAAAATAAACACGCACTACTGAGATTTGTTAATGCAATATTTTTTTTTTGTTATTCCCCATACGTGGCTTAATTTACATCGGCCACCGAAATTCTTCTTCTGGTCTGCTTTTTTTTTTTTACGTAAAAACGCACCACGAACATTGAATATGCTTATGTTCAGTGGTTTGCTCAACTAAGTTCCGAACGCGATGCATGTCACGTTCTTTAGCTGAGGAGTTTCATAAGAATTTTGATCTTCGTTCGGAAATCGAAATTCCTTCTGCACAATGCATCTTTCAGCACCGTTTGGGTTAAAACGAGGGAGAAAGTAAAATGTCGAAAGATATATAAAAAAAAAAAATCATGTCCTTTTATTTTTACGCAAATTACAGAAAATATTTCTTTTCTCACATGCATTGATGCAATTAGTAATACAATATTCCCACAATTCATTGGAGTGTCTTTTTAAATTAGGAATTGCTTCTCCTTCAGTTGCTCCTTCGAATGTATCCGGATTCGAACATCCGCGTGATTATTTATATGTTATTTGTTAAACTTTCGTAGTTAGAAAACAATCTTAAAGAACTCATTACAAGAAAAATAATTTTTTTTACCAGTTTGGTTAGGATACGCGTGTCACGAGATTAATTTTACGCGAACAAGTTTTTTAAAGAAATATTGACGGCGCGAAATTTATTTTAAATTCTACGCGCAGAGTCCATGGCGTCACGGAATGGTCATTCGCTCTTTCCACCTCAACGTGAAGGCGAAGCCGATCCAGCTGTTTTCCACGCGCCCGAAATCCCGAGAAAGAAAACGAGCGGAAAGGAGGTGACTACCGACTAAATCGCGTCTCGCGCCGTCAATATTGCTCTAAGTTTTTTTTTGCGCGAAAAATAATTTTTTTTTGACAAGACTGTTTAAATTTTTTTTTTCTTTTCAGGGGCCCTTTAAGTTTTGATAGTTGATTGGTTTTTGACTAGAGGGATTATCAAGACTTTAATTGTGTTTCTGATAATGTAGTTCCTTGTCTCGCTGTCAAAGTGGGCGGACTTATTGTTCAAGCATTGGGGGAGGGTAGAGGGGGGGGGGGGAGGGGGGGTCTGCCGAGAGGTCTGAAGTTACGGGCGAAGCGTTGCCCATGTGTATCTTGTTAAGATAATATTTCGCATTTCACCAACGACTAAACATTTCCTACTAAAAAATCTGGTGTACATCGTTTTTTCTATAAAAAAAGGTTGCCAATGGGGGGCTAAAAGGGGGGTTGGGGGCGGTGGCATGCCGTCCCTACTTTCTATTCCTAAATCTGCCTCTGCCACTCAAACATAATATAGGCCCTCTGTCAGCCTGCATGTTTTATTTAACTTTACCTCTGTGCTCTCGAAGACCAGTGCCAACGATAATTTGCGTAACTGACACCTCGGCAATCTCATGCTTCCATGAATAGACACTAACCGCAGTATTTGTCAACTTTATTCAATCACATCTGCCTTTACGATCCACATTTTCCAACTAGATATTTTGGACAATTACACGGTGCGCCTTGCTCGCTGCTTGTAACTATACCATGACATCGCTGGTAGTTATGTATTATAACTACTCGAACAAATACTAACTTCGCATGATAGCGAAATTGAAATAATAGGACCAAAGTATTGCAAAAAAAACAGAAAGAAAACCGTATGGTGCAAACAAATTTATAATAATTCGCCTCAAAATAAACGCGTTTGCAATTTAGTATGGCTTTTTCATCAAAATAAAGACAAATTCATTCTGCAGCGGCGTATAAAAAAAATAACTTTTTTGTTCATGGCTACTGACGACAGAAAATAGTTTACGAAGATAGATGCAACGCAATGGTAAATCGCGAAAGGAAACTCCCCCCAGTTTGCAGAAATTCTTTAAGTTCACAAAGTCAGACAACATCACGTGCGTTCATCATTAGCAAACCTTATCTAAGACAGTAGAAAAAAAAAAAAAAGAAGAGACGTGCTTCGGTTTACAAACTGGGCTTGCCGTATGCCCACATTCTGTTCCCTTGAATGCGATTTTCTTAAAAAGTAAATAATATGCTATAAACGAAAAAAAAAATCGCGTGGTAAATAACAATTCAAAGAATGTGGAGGTCTGCGATCTGAGTCTACGGGATAGCAATCTATATACTTACCTACCTGCAATGAAGTACTGAAAAGGGCGTAGTCACATTGGTGTCCGTATGGTCTACTGGCTCGTGTAGCAACATGTCCTTGACGAATCTCACATAAAAGAGATGCCCCCACAGGCTGTCTCATCTGTTCGAGCTTTCTCAGCAAGACCACCACTTCCAATCATGGTAGGCTTTTCCTTGAAATCCGTCATAGCCAACTTCTCTGCATTGGTATCCCGTTCTTTATGTAATATTACATTGCCTTTAAATATCCCTAAATATTATATTACAACTATTTACTGAAAAAAAAAATCGCGCTGCCTAATCGTTCCTCGCACTGCAAATGTATGTTTACACGAAACTCCTCATAAAAAAAAAAAAAAAGAAATAAAACGGCAATTGGTTTTTAACGTGTCGCAGTGCAATACATTGAAAAACTGTTTTTTTTTTGCGAACCATTTAAAGTGGGTTCAAAGCATTAGTTTACACAATGTAGTACGTTAAAATACATTTCAGTGCCCGAAACGATTCCTTGACTGTCGTTCTTCGCAGGTCTTCTAACTTAAGAAATAAATACTCTATCTTAACTTAAAAGTTGCTAAGTCTAGTCAGCCTTTGACAAACGTTAGCGACATAAAGTTTTGCTGAAAAGCGAATGGATGTAAATGATAAGTTATCTGCATTAAATGCACATCTCTTTCAACCCAAAAAGCAAAACGAATAGATCTAACCGTTTCTTCTTTATATACTTCATACAGAACGAAACACCTATGCGTGGCATATCCGGTCGATTTATTCACTGAACGATCTGAACAAACATGAAAACAGTATTCTTCACTGTGTTATTATGTTCATATTCATCGCTATTATAGTATGCCAATATTACCTGCAAGGATTTGCAAAGGAAATACAATTTGACTCCGCTGTGTCATATTCGTAACCTCACACTTTTCCAGTTCCGTTGCGTTCTTGTCCTGGCTCTGGCCACCTGCGCCTTCGCTGGCTACCTGGGCTACGGCGGCTACTCCGTGGCTGCCCCCTTGACCTCCGCCTACTCCACCGTCCACCATGCTCCAGTCGTTTCTACCCTCGGCTACGGCCATGGTCTTGGCTACGGCTACGGTCTCGGCTACGGTCACAACCTTGGCTACGGATATGGTCTGTCCGGCTATGGTCTCGGCTACGGCTATGGACTTGGCGGTCTTGGCTACGGTGGTTTCTACAAGAAATGTACGTTTATTTTTTTATGCAGAATTTAATTTTAAATTAAGGAATCGAAGGGATTCAAAATCTAAAAAAAATATGTACCTGTAATTATTGATGTCGGTAACTGGAAAAAGAATAGAGCTTCAAAACACATAAAAATAGACTAGTCTCGTTCAATATTCTTAGACCTTCTGCGCCATATTTGATTAAGAAGCGCATTTAATTTTAAAACTCGCATCGGGTGTAATTTGTTATCTAATTTTGTGCACTGGCGCAGAATGAGGAGCATATCAAATTGTCGTTTTGCAATTTGCGAGTGTGCCCCATCTCATGAATGAAATTCATATTGCATTAAAGTCGATATAACCCTTCTATAATGTCATCGACAAGCAATTAAGGTTAAAAATAAAAAAAAAAAAAACAAGGAAACGCCATAATCTAATACTACTTATGTGTAACATCTTTTGTGATATCACGAAATTATAAATCCCAAAGAAAAACTTTCTACGCATTAAAACTAAAAAGAAACAAGAAAAATATAAAGATATATTCACATTCAGCTCTTTCGCCAATTCTCATTAGGTAGTGAAAAATTACTTTTAATAATTGAAACTAAGTTGGTACTAATTATTTTTACCGTTTCCTTGCAGAAACTGAACTTCTGACTAGTGTCCATAGGTTGAGGTGACAAGGACGCTCCAAAAAGGATAAGCAAAGCATATAACAAAATCAACAAGAAGCCCGGCCGACGTCACAGCGTTCGTGATTGAATATGATGATTTTATTCTCTACATAGTTTGAATCAATAATATTAGGTTAATTCGTGTCGACCTTAGTTACCCAATATAAAAATGTTCTTCAAGTCCATCCCAGTGGTCACTCGGTTTTGGAAATAAAGATTGTTCGATATCTGGTCAAGCACTTTGGAAATCACTGATATATACCGCTGTTGAACGCCTGTTTAATTGCACAACGTTATTTGCGAATACAGGTGGTCCGCTCAGAAATATGCTGGATATTGTTATTAACTGTCGGATAGAAATGTAGACCCCGTTTAACTAATTACGCAGAACAGTAAGCATGTAAACGAAAGAGCACAATGATTTACCATTACGGGAAACCAATGCCACAAAAAGTTTTACGAAGTCAATCTGGAGAAAATTCGAAATTCCACTGGTCATTTTTCGTGACATCCGAGGACTGTTTTAGAGGTTAATCTAAAATGAGTTTTGGATTGCGAGCGGATTTGTAAATCATTTGAAATGTTACAGATATGTATACGCGTACGTTTCCGCGCGAAAAGCATAATTTCAGTTGTCAGGAATCAAAATGTTGCAACCTTTTGCTGTAATCATGACGTCCAAGTGCTTATCGTTTGAATTAAATATAATACTGAAAATTCTAAAAATGGCGGAATATTTAATGTAATACTCACTGACTATTTCGAAAACCAATCTGCCTTCTAGAGCTGTTGACTAGAGAAACTAATTTACGCCGGAAGACAATGTTTTTGTGCAACGTTTGCGTGTTTGTTTGTCACGGCTTATTAAAAAATTGGCTAGCTCCGTTGAGTATGGCTCTAAAAATGATGCGTGTGCCACATTGAACTCGGGATATCCAACGCAAGACCACAAGGAAATGGCAATAGAGCCATGCGCATATCGTATCGAAGGGTGCGCACCAGAGAGTACTGCGCGCTAAAAATTACTCCGTCCTAACTAATGTGACTAAGGCGGTCCCAAATCAACACCGCAATTATTTTGCGGGAATACCTCTAGGTTTCTAGAAAACACCCTAAAACGGATACTAATAATACTGTAGCGTCTCGGGTTGTTCTAGACTTGACTCGGAAGTTAAAATGGTCTGGAACGGTTGGTGAGAACACTAACATTTTATTTCGTTAACTGATTATTACTTGCCCAACTATAGAATAATGATGAAAGAGCGTTGTCGGCGTCTGTTCAGGCCGCTTCTCCCATGTCGTCTCGCTGCTCACTCCGTCTCGTCTCCGTGTGTCGTCCTGCGCCGCATTCTTTTGTACCCTCGTGCCGAGGGTTACCTCGCGGCTGCGTGAAGTGGTGCAACCGCGAGGCAATACGTCAGCCAGATGAGACAGCAGTATTGGCAGTGCTATGGTGTGATTCCCAAGATGTTATCTAATGTGGTGCAATGGATGTTGCGCGGACTTATGTAAGCGTGCGGCAACAACCGTCGACGACGCAGCAATACTGACAGCACTCTGGAGATAATTTAGCGCGCAACAAATTTGATTCAAGACGTTCATTCAAGAATCAAACACGGAGAAACATCAAATACATACCAAAGAAATAACGTACAAAACCGGAGTCGCATCCGCATGGCTGCTGCATCTTGTTTAGTATACTCGACAATTGAAAGATATCTAAGCGCGAATGACTGCACCAACAATGAGGCTACAAGTGTGATGCTTTGTTCTCCTCAATATTTTACACAAAGCATTCTATCTCGAAGTTCAAAAAATCTATCTTCAAGTGAAAAAAAAAAAAATTGTAAAGTCAAGAATCATTTTACGCGGTCGCTGAAACAACTTACACTAAAAATGTTTGACGCGGGTATGTTCGCGCTTCCTGCTCGTGTACAGGGACTGTATTTCCCCTACATACTTCTTAAACGCTTCTGAAATTGTCTTCCACTGAACGGTACTCTACAACGTCATTATAAATAGTTTTTTTTACTCAATTTATGGGCGTTGAAATGTTGTAGCCACAAGTGTATGTCTTTCGAGAACCCTTCCGCACCCTGAACGTTGGAAATATTTTAGTGTGCATAGCTGCCGCACGCATTGCACTATAAGAACAGTCAGCTCTATTGTTGAATTTTGTTTCGTTTTTAGTACGGCACCGGAAATATACAACCTTCTGATTTTCACGTCAAAATCAATATAAAAATCATATCAAAATGAAAGGGACACAAAAGTAGTACAAAGTAATGCGTGAGATAATTTGGGTTTAAAGCTACTTCACGAGGCGCCTTTACACTTTTGATAAGCCGCGCTCCACAGTGTGGATAAACATCGTCCGCCGCTTTCCAGCGCCCTAAGTATGCAAGCCGGCAATTAGGTATTGGCGTAACTTTTGGCGTTGGTGTAACGCACAGGCATGGATGTTGGCTAAGTCTAGGCAGACCAGACTACTTGTTGAGGCGGCATGAATTCATTCCTGCTCCGATTTTTTTTTCTTCTTCAAATTGACCCCTACCGGTTTCATTTTCGCCGCCACCGGCTCAACTTCTTGATCGCAGGCTTGCTTAAAGGAAAGATGGGGCACTTCTACATTTGAGAAAAAACGCTTGAATTGCGTTCATTTGGCCTTTAGATTAACAGATATCAAAATTGTATTTCAATGCGACCCGCCGGAGAGCCATACGAGCAATTTCAAAATAGGACTGAAGCCCCGCCTCCCTAGCCTTGGGCAGCCAAAAGAGCCGTCGATGACGTCACGGACAGCGACTGTCTTTCGCGTTTTTCTCGCGTTTAACAATACTTACCCAGCAAACGGTTTGGGTATTCGGGTTCACGGGATAAAAATACACTAGAATTCACTTCTAACTCATTTTTTCCAAGAAGCTCCGTAGCTTCCCTTTAAGCTCAAACGAATACTGAAATGTGTAAGCACAAATTGAATACCAGGCACTGCGCTTTTATGTTAGAAATTGCGCTCGTTGGGGCAGTTCATCACAATGTGAAAGAACTCGAGAAATCTAAAAAAAAAAAGAAACTGCCAATGCAAGAAAAACAAAACAAAAGCAACTCGACACAGGGCGAAAGTTATTACAATGAAGTACGGCCGGAATGCGAGCCGAACGTTGCGTTTGAGGCGTTTTATGTTTGTCGCCTTCAATCTTTATCAGCTGATATTTTAAGATATTCCAAACTCATTTCGTGTGTTATAAATAGTGAGAAATATAACAAGCAACGATGCCGCGTTCTGTGCCGCGGCGTCACAAAACTACACGCTGCCTCATAGCTGAGTTATACATCTATGTTTCCTTGTATTCCCAAACACCTAAAGTATGCTCATGAAACTTAAAGTTGATTCCGTGTCATTTGTCGTCGGAAAATGCGTGTATCTTGTTGAACTGCGACGCCGACTGCAAGCCAACTTATCGACCCTTTTACTGTTTACAGACATGAACCGCTGTTTGCGCCCCAAGCAACTTCTGGTTTCTCCGCCTTTGCAAGTCTGTCGAGCTTGCTTATGTCACCCGTGGCAGAATTCATAAATACTACGCGGACAACAAAGTTGGAGATATAGCGAGGGCCTTCGGATGTACGATCTAACATCTTGGAGAAGACGAGTTGGTTTACAAGAGTATTCGAAAAACTTTCAACAGATCTCGCTCTTCTTGTTCCTTTTGGCGTTCACCTGGAAATTTTACTGGGTAAATGTTTCACCGACGTTTCCACCAGCAGTGTCAAGGTGGGCTTTGTTCATTCTTATTATAAACCGGAAGTTCGCTGGGACGTCAAAGACTGGAGCACCGCTTGGTGGCGTTTGCATAGAACATGTCCTGTAACTTTTACGGAGCAGCTGCTATGGGCTCTTCCCACTACCAAAAGTGACGTCCGCTGTCCATGTTGCAGTTGTAGTAGTTGTTGACCTAGTAGTTGGCGATGTAGGGCGTCCGTCGTCGATGTTGCGCAATCCTTGAAAAAGATCGCCCGCCGCCTGCGGGCATTGAGCCTGAGTCAGCTGCTTGCGAAGCGGAGGTGTTACTAAGGCCCCTCTATCCTGGGGAAAGTGACGCCATTCATCGTTGTGGAAATGCTCGAGACACGTGCCGCGCGGCACTTCTGGTAAGAACATGGCGTCTGAAATCTAGCTTAGTGCTGCGCTGTGCCGCCATGATCTGCGCAAGGGCTGCACGTTGCACGTGCCTCGTGCATCAACGCAGCTTGCGCGACTTTTAAAACATGAAAGGGGCTTTAAAGGAGCTGTGCAACGATTATCAGTTGGAATGTTTTTCACTATACGCGAGCTTACTGGCACACCTGGGACTCAAGGATACTCACACGCAATGCTACTGGCCAAGAAACTCCTTTGTTGCGGTGTAATTTCAAGGGCAAGAGCGATCATTTTCATTCAATCTCTCCTTTGCAAAATTTTATGACGTAACGTGGGGATCGCAGTACACCCAAGTGACGATATTTGAATGCGGTTCATAGATTGGACCCGAGCCCTGCGTGGGCACTCGATTTGGGCTCGTGATAATTACTGGCTCGAGAAGCATTCGGGTAGTCGCCCGCGTCCAATCGCTGCAACGACGACAATAGCCGAGCCATAACAATGTCTGGAACTCAGCGCGTGTCCTGTGCTTTGCCAACCTCAGCGCGTGGCTATGATCAACATTGGCGGCATATAATCGGCTCCAGATTGCGTGGCCGCTTGTTGTGGCTGCGAGTTGAGGGGGTGAACGCTGCTCGTTTTTCTTTAATTTTTTTTCTGGGACTTCTATTGCGTGAAGTGAAAAACGAACGCGTGTTTCATAGATCACTAACGTCAGGGATCTGTTTTAAGCGGTGTTTGCGCAAAGTACAAAAATTGTTGCATCGCTCCTTTAAGTGTAAAGGCCCCTACGCACATTGGCCTTAAAGTGAGTTTGAGTGCGTTTAACTGCGTTGCGTCGAGAGACGAAAGGGAGTCACCGTCGCATATGTGCTTTGAATGAAGCATGGAGTCTAATTCTAGGAATAGGTTGGCACGCCACATAAGAAGCAGGGCTGTTCCAATTTCTCGCAGCCGCAACGCAGTTGAACGCACTCAAATGCTGTCGAACGTAAAG